CGCTCATTTTCTGATCGGTCGCCATGCTGCGAACTTCAGCCTGATACTCGGCAACGTAAATCTCGCTGTTGACTGCTTCTAAAGCGGAACCAGCGATGAGAGTGGGCAGCACGCTGACATCGCCGAGGTTGAGCACTTTCCCTCTACAAAAATAGTTAACCTATGAATATACGATCGAGGCTGTGGTGATTTTACCCGGTTTTCTTAACCAATCCTTGATAGAAATCACGCGCTCTCTGCGTAATCAATAACACATCTGACGCGGCACAAAGACAATGATCTCACCTTGTAATACTGGCTCAGGGTAGGTTCGCACGCAATCACGTACTGTATTGACATTAAACCCTAGCACGATATGTGAAATGTTCGACATACCAGAGTGATACCAGCTCTTCCCATCCTCGTCGCAACACGGAGCGGGTCAATTTCTAATTTGGAATTAGTCGCTGATCCATCACGACTGAAGAATAAAAGTATGATTTACGAAGTGGACACCCTTTGGGAAAGGCGTCTCCATCCTCTCCAATTCCATGCGGGGGTGAATCGGTAATCAGCACCACGACCTTTGTCGCTTCGTCCTTCCAGTCAGCCTTGTAGGCAGCGGACAAAGCATCACTTTGAGATTCAGGTCCATCACCACCGCCCGTCGCTGTTAAGCCGCCTAAATTCGCTGCGACACTTCCAAAATCGGTCGTGAAAGGGTATTCCTGGATGATGAAGCTCAGATCTTGAGGAGGATGATCGCGGAATGCAATAAGGCCAAATCTGAGATCTCCCGGAGCGAAGTTCCCCCAGATAGAAGTGTATTGCAAATCTGGGTGATCCCGTTACGCGCAGTGTCAATATACTGCTGTTGACTCCCTGTAGCGTCTTGGAGGAAACATGATGTCACTGAGTCGAATTTTATATCAGCGCCATGCAGTTTTCCGCGCAACGAAATGATTCTCACAGGGGGCGCAGAAGGCTTGACATTTGGGACTAACTCAAAAACGAAGCATTGTTTGGGACCATCGTACTTTAGGTGATGATTATGTAGGAGTACGGAATGAATAGAGAGGACGTACGACATGAGCATGGTCATAGTAAAAGTGGACCTATGAAGGGAAAAGGCATGAGAAAATGACAGGAAGGTAGACTCGGACACAAACGGCATCTGATCCTGGGTCGCAGGAGTCGAAGCAGTTCGACTCGCCGCTTAGCTTTATCCTGTGACACATGTGAGGTACAACTCTTAGCAACATCATGTTAGGACACGAACTTTGAGAAGGTTTGGCCATCACTGGTTCGTTCCAATATAGACCAGTTCAAGGAGGGAACATTCTGAGGATAAGGGTATCCATAACCCCAATAGGTGTCTGCAGTCTTCTTGTAGGTTATACCATACCCATCCTCGACACTGACCATCGTCCAGACGTTGCTTTGCCCCGACAATTGGGTAAGGGTCCACTGCACGAATTGAGCATATAGTAAAACAAGATGTGATTAGTTAACGTACCTTTTGCTTGTTGCTAGTCGGAGAAGGTGAAGCAAGCTTCAACCCTGGATTATAACCAGGGGCGCTTTCGATGACAAGATCCTGGTTGAGAACTTTGATGCGATACACCCCATTGGAAGTAGGTTTGGTTTGGTAGGTCATTGTATAAGGTGCAGTAGACAGAATCCAACAAGGAATATGAACAAGCTCAGCGCTCAACTGTTGAGTAAGTCTCGGGCACCTTTAAATGCCATCGACACTCTGAAGCTGTGTTAGCTAAGTGTGTCGCCATGAGCTCGGCATTTCCAAGGTTCCGAAAACAGTTGAGAATTGGGTTTACCGTATACGTATCATAGACGCGGGCATTGCGGCCTCGAGGGTGGAAGTCCAACAGAAAAGGTGAGAGTTAGAGAGATGATGAGGCCCTTTAAAGCTATGACTCCGATATAGAATGGACCACTTCCCAGCTGATGTGCCCCAGGTCCGGCGTTAAGATGTGACTGAAACTCCCGGACCCTAGATCTTGTAAGATGAGTGGAGTAAGGTGAGTAAAATCCCCAAAGCCCCCAAAAACTTGAAGGTACGTGCAGCTGACCGGGCCCGGCTCTGCTGTTAGCCTGTCAGTGACAGTGGCACGTACCTTGTTCTTCTCAACATAATTTTGGAGCTGAGTTTCTACTTCGGAACAGTAGTCTCATCACTTGTAACAGGGCACTTATGACTCATGCCAGGTCGCTTGACCTTATAACCTCATAGCGGTGTTCTGCTAACTCTTGAATATTGAATATTGAATTCGGACAGGTGGTACTATGCACAACACATAACCAACGCATAAGGAACAATCCACACTCATTCGTCGTAATGATACAAGTTACAGCGTAAACAGGCAGAGGTCGACAATTCATGATAACTTTGAGTAACGAAAGGCCTACAATTGTTTAAACAGCTCTGGGTGTGTGAGCACGATGTGCTCCCAGACAAGATCGTCCCGCGGTTGGGGCGCGCGAGCAGGGGGTTCTGGACCTTCTGGTTCCCCACCACGACGATTGGTAGGTGCTTTCAATGCACCTTGTGTAACCCATTCAGGATTTACTCCCCAATGCTCGAAGAACTTGTCTCGGTAGGATTCGAACGCAGGGAAAACGAGCATTTCATGGACAGCTCTCCAAGCGCTATCCAATGCACCCTCCACCCAAGCATGCCGTACACTGATGGCTTCGCCAGCGAAATGAAGATAACCCCCTGCAGCAGGATTGTTAAGGCTCGTGTAAAGATTTCCGAACTTTCCAGGTCCGAAGAAAGCAAAGGCACCTTAAAAAGAATATCAGTGAGACGATAGATAATATCGAACAACTCGGCTGCATGATACTGACCCATCGTATAAGGATCGTGGGACCAACTCCATCCCTTGGTTTCGATCAGCTGGTTACGTATATATTTTATATCAACGTTGTGCAGATCCGCCAGCTCCTTCAACACAAGCTGTTCAAGCGTTGCGTCATCTCTGCCTATCAACGCACCCAACCTAGTAGCATCCTCCGTCCAGCAATAGCTGGCGATAAGCGTAGTCGTCGTCCCAGCCTGGACGCTTCCAAAGGAAGGATAAACGACAGTGCGCAAAGGCCTGTCAGTGTACGTCTGTCCTCCAACTATATTGAGAGGATTTCCACTTAAATCCGTCCCGGTCGTCCACCACGCAGTTCTGAACTGCATTCCGATCTTAATGGAGGGACCATAGTTCAATGTTCGCAGAGCATTCGACTGCATGGGGGAGAGACCAGCTTGGCTGAGGTCGACAGTGCGGAGAACGGGTAAGGGGATAGTAGAGATGACATGCGAGAATTTGTGAAGATCCTTGTTGTCTGTAACAACGTCCATGCCAGAGTTGTCCTCATTAATTCCAATGGCCGTCACTCTGGAGTTGAATGTGATAGCGTCTTTGCTATTCTTGCGAATATATTGTTCCATGCAAGCCGCAATCTCGTTAGCGCCGCCACTGCAAAAGTGCGAACATCAGTCATCTCGCCTTGATTTACATGAGACTGCGTACGTACTCAATGCAAAACCATTGCGTGGGAGGCGGGTTAGGTCCGGGATGCCAACCAAAAGCAACGGCCTCTAAAACAGTCTCGGAGAGAGCGCGATCGTACCAGCCGGTGGACCTTATCAAAAGTCTCACACCAGTTGACAACATCTGTCGATAGAGACTTGTTGGGTAGACCAAGGCTTGGGCTCGGTATATACTTGAGCTGCATATAAGCGCGAGTCGAATAATGGTCGAAGCTCCTCATATATTTCCAACCTTCTGACCCTCCAGTCTTCAAATCGTCAAGTAGGCGTGTTGCAAAGGGACCAATGACATCGTCCATGATTGCCTTCACACCTACAGCGATGTATGGGTTCGAGCTAACGACGTCTTGGATCACCTGATCAGCCTTGAAAGGGTCACTTGGGGGCATCGCGTTCTGCCGCACTGTGACGCCATTATAAGAGTATAGGGTATTGTTGTTTCCCGCCGCCTACAAAATAGAACGGTTGACCTTCGTCTTGAGAGAGATACTGCCCTCGTTGAGAGGTGGGTAGTCGAAGAGGTTAAAGACTCGCTGCATGGAACTGATTTTCGGGAATCGCATAGCGCCAATGTCGAAATAATTGTAGGGCGATCCCGTTCCGTCTTGGAATTTGTATGTGAGAAGTCTTCCTCCGACTTTACCTTGAGCCTCGATGATGTGATATGGAATACCGAGGTCCTGGAGGATCAAAGCTGTGTACAACCCGCCCGCTCCTGTTAAGATATTTGGCTTGAATCAGGAGAATGTCGATTAGAACAGAGGAGCACTGACCTGCACCCAGGATTCCAACCGGTTTTTGCAGAGCTAATATCGACTGGCGCCTGATAATTCACTGGAGCGACTCTTAGTAAAACGACGATCAAAACAGAAGAGCGCCGACCTGCGTCCGAGATTCCAATCAGACCTACAGAGCTAATATCGGTTATCTTCCGATTCTGAGTCAGTGGAGCGGTCAACGGCCTTGGTACGCTAGGCGGGAGGGTTTCTGTGCCCTTCAGCTCATTATCGAAGGCTTGGATCAGGTTACGAGCATAGTGAGCATAGGTATCATACCCCGGCGAAGGGGAAGACGAGTTTGTAAAGTTTGCCATCGAAGAGGTGGATGTGCTTTCTTTCTTTGAATCTAGGTATACCCTTAGTTATAAGGGAGAGGCTGGAGGGTGTTCCGTTCGCGGAGAAGCCTGTGTAATACAAACAACCATTTTGGCTCGATACTAATCGCGAAGAATGAATGATATTCGTTCTTGCTTATATGCGTTTGTCATGTACTACCTATCAGAATTCAAATATTCAAGAGTTAGCACTGTGGATTAGGTTGGCATGTCTGGCTCCACTCATCTTACAAGATCTATGCCCCTTGATGTGATTATCGATTTCGCATCCATATCGTTGGCTAGATCATTGAGGGAGATTCAATCTTGACGCTGAGTACCTGGCAATTGAATAGTGGTTCGGCGGCTGGCGGTACCGGGTAACCTCATAACCTTGACTCGGAGGCGTTGAGGTCAGCTGCCTCCCATAGTAGCCTTTTCTGTTGGACTTCCACCCTCGAGGCCTCAATGAAACGTAAACAGAGATCTAGGTTGACTTGCTATCAGAACCACGGAAGCTGGGACGCGTGCCTACAGCGCTTTGAAAAATGGTTGACAGTATTCCGATTCGTAATCATACGTTAACGATTGTGAAAATAAATAAATCGTTGCGCTGAAAAAGGTATGTAAGAGTGTATGTAAGTTATGCAACTGAGCTTCCTCATGATCAACTAGCAGCTGTACCCTCCATCAATATGTGGATCTGTCCGGACGGATCTCTTATCACATTCAAATGTTTCTCATCGATCTTCTTCTGCAGCAGTGGGTACTACACTCTCTAATTTGGTTCTTGTATGGTGCATGGCCCATCAACACTTCAGCGCTCAGCAGCTGTGCTCTTTGGACATGTACGTCTTCCATTCCTACTTCTGACAGCTGCCATCATGGATAATCCGAAACAGTTTAGATTGTTCAAACGTTCACCACTGAATTTGGATCACGCAGATTCATTCACCCATAATGGCCTTCACAAGCCTTCACATAATGCAACATCGTATTATCGCGATAAATAGCCTTCGGTTTCTCGGACTTTCGAAAAAGCCGGTCACGGTGCCCTCCAGTTTGATCACATATATATATGTACTCTCTCACTTATTTCATCTTCTGTAGGGATTTTCGTCCTTATTATCTTCACACCTAATTCGTTGGACCAAATGGGTGATATTCAGTATTCTCTTGACCTTTTCAAACATTTAGGACGTCGCTCAGTCTTACCCCTGGTTTCGAGCCCTAGTCTTACTGTACGGGTGCAAGCTGCAGTGACTGGCGACCTTCCTGATCTGAATAATGTCCAAGGCGACGTGATTTATCTCTTTCCTAAAGTAAATGACCAGTCCAATAGCTCTTCTTTCAAACATCCTCGAACATGTCTACTGATGATTTATTTTAATAGAAAGCCGAGAACTTCGTATTCTTCAGGATCAACAACGTAACATCGTTCAGAAACTGCTCTGCAATCCTTCAAGCCAACAACTGCGGAAGACGTGAAAGACAATCTTACCAAGATTGCTTTTGCGAAGGCAAACGCCCGTGATGCAAGTAGTGTCCTGACAGTCGACATTGCGCAATACCAGATTGCATTCACCCGTACCGGCATGTATTTCCTTGGCGTAAACGAGGAGACTGGAGATGTTCGCTTCGACAAGCACTGCATGAGTGACGACAAGCAGTTTCCTTTGCGACCAAAGACTATGGGAACCCTATATTTGTCAAACCAAAACCTGATCCCGGTGAATGGATCAGTGCGCGATGATACTGGGGCTCTGCATGGCGTCATCACTGTCGCCGGAAGTAGTGGAGTACCTATTATCTTGAAGGAATTGATCTTCTTGACGCACGTTCTGCGAAGGCGCCGAGACTTGCACCAAAGCTTCAAACGACGTCATAGACCTATTTGGCTCATCGATAACGGTTGCTGGCGGCAAGCCAGTGGAAGGGAGGGCTCGACCACCCCCTTACAAAGGGCATGAGCATTTCGGCTTTCAAGATGGAGTCTCCCAACCTTGTCTACGGTGAGTATTTCCCGGACATCGCGTCTGTACGGTAGGACTTCAAACGTTCCGTCAGGGGGTCTTGTTATTCCTCGCCCTGGTCAGATTCAAGTTGATCCTGGAGTAATTATAATGGGTTATCCAGGCGATCCTGTACGGGATGATCCGACTACCAAGGTAAAACGTCCGGCCTGGACCAAGGATGGGACGATTTTGGTGTTCAGGAAGCTCGAGCAATCTGTCATCTCTTTCGAGGATTATGTACAGAGGAATGGACCTCGTTGGCGCGAGTTCATTCCCGGAGGCAATATATCTCCTCCACTCAACAAACAAGAAGCTGAAGATCTCTTCGGGGCACGGCTTATTGGAGGTGGAAATCGGTACGATTCGGTGATGCAATGTATGCTGATGCATTTGGCTCATCGAACACGTATTCGTGACAGGGTGCACCCCTTGCTAATGCCCCTTCCGCGACAATCAAGCTGTGGCACGCGACCCCAGACCTCAACAATGACTTTGACTACATCGTTCGCGACAATCCGAATATATCACAGTATGAACCTAGTGATTACTACTGCCCATTCACTGCACACACACGCAAGACCGCGCCGCGTAATTTGAATCCTTACATCGATGCTAAATTCCTTGAATCGGGTTCGATCGTACGTGAGGGCTTCCGTATGGCGGTGAGGTGAGAAGAGTCATGGGCTCTGCATTATTATTCCGCCTGATTGTGCTATCTCCTGCCCTCAGGTTACTGATCAAGAACGACGCGATGTAGCAAACGGAAGCCCTGAATTACCTCGCGGGCTTCTGTTCAATTGCTATATGTCTAGCTTGGACTCAGGATTCGTTCGTCAGACGATCGGATACGCGGGTAATGATTACTGGCCCATAACATCCCTGGTGCCACAGAAGAAGGGTAACTAATTTGACGAAGTTCTTGTATGCCACTCTAACCCATAGATTCTGATATCGATTAGGTCAGGACCCTGTCCTTGGTAGCCCTCCTGTGTATACACCTGCTCAAATCGAAGGCACATCTCCCTCAGTACAATCCGGGGATAAAGTCAACCTACAACTCACCGGTGCGGATGGTGCAACGTTCCAGGTATCCGGATTTGCTGAAGTTACCGTTAAGGGTGCGGCTCCACCACCCGGTGAACCGAACCCCTTCTTCGTTACTTCGAGGGGAGGAGAATACTTTTTTTGTTCCTTCTGTCTCGACCTTGAAAAGCTGGGCTAGCGCTACGACGTCTAAACTGTAAGATATAGTTCTATCTTCAGGAATCACTGATACTAAATAAGTCGTTCGCAGAGACATTGTTTTTCCTCCTCGATGCGACGGGTAGTATGCAAGTCTATATCGAACAAGTGCGAGACACCATCCAGTCGCTGTGCGAACGCCTTGTTGCGACTGGAAAATGGTCAGGTGGCGATTTAAGATTTGGACTTATAGCATTCCGCGACCACCCCCCGCAAGATTCCACGTACATCACCCGCCAGTACCCTTTCGACTCTAACGTTTTGGCTGTCAAGGCGAATCTGGCGAATCTGCAAGCGGATGGTGGTGGTGACGGACCCGAAGCTCAGTGTGATGCGTTCGCTCGTGTCCTGAATGCGGGATGGAAGGACGAAGCCACCAAGGTCGCCATACTTATCACAGATTCACCACCCCATGGTATAGGGGAGGACGAAGATGGATTCCCCGGTGGATGTCCACTTCGTACGTTACCTATTATTTAATGATCTCAATATCTAACTATGAAACAGAGAACGACCCTGTGCGTCTTGTTAATAGGATGGCTAGGCTCGGCATTACATTGGTATGTTCATTTCACGATTTCCAGTCACGGAGATTTACGTCGATAATAGCATGTGCTGGCGTGTGAACCCACGATGAGCATGGACTTTTCGGTAAGTATATTATGATTGCCTCCAACATTCTAACTGTAACGTTGATGAACAATTCAGACGCCCCTCGACTTCTACAAAGGCATTGTTCAGAAGACAGGGTGAGATTTTAAATCGTACATTTGAGGCTTCGACTGACTATATGTTGCATAGGGGGAGGTTCTTCCCCCTTTCTGACGTCAATTCATTGATTGGGCTTTTCACCGGCAGTATTTTAGAAACTGCTGACATCGACGCCCTAGTTGTCAAACATACAGATGAAGTTTGCACATTAGCTAAGGAGCAGAAAGCAACAACCGGTGATATCAGCAAGGATTTATACGGCCGTTTGTCATCTTCTGCTCAGGTCAACACCTTCACTGTTGAGGATATATACGCCGCGAATGAGCAGGGTGACAAGAATGTTCAAATCTGGCTCAACGCAGAACAAATCGACAACAACACGACATCCCAGATCAAAGAGGTCAGTCTTCCGATTTCTGTTGGCCCTACTAGACATGACAGCTGGTACAGGTACTGGTTTCCGCCTCAAACGCGAGTACCGCCAGGGTGGGACACCGGCAATGAGTTCAAAGATACAGCCCGTTAGCCTCAATCAGGTATGCGATTTCTCTCACTCTCCGGTGTCCAAGTGACGAGTATATCCCGTGACAGGTTGAAACAGTAGTGAGGATGTGTTTGGCGAGGGCTGCGTGAACCTTTTGTTCTCAAGGAAATGTAAATACAATGTTCACTTCTGTAACACTACCGTCCAATTTTCAATGTCTTAACGTCCAGCGATCCATGGATGTTCCAGAACCGGATTGATCCAGACTTTGAAATTCTTGAAACTGTACCGCCAAAGTGACTTATCATCTTGACTCCTAGACCTTACTTGGCGGTTAGCTGTAGGAATGGGGTGGGGGAGGACTTCTGTGGAGATGCGGGGGTAGAAGTAAAGTTAATTATGTAAATTTGTTATTAGTAACTCTCACTGTCTACTATTTGCAGCTATGTGCTTTCAGCATGCTCTCTTCAGACGTGGCATCAGCTAAAGGACTACTAGATTGCTGAACGAATGAGTACAAGACATTTGGCTGCTGATTCTTCTTCAAGTTGGCAGGACCCTCAGGCTGAACCTCCGACCCGAGGTACTAATAGCCTATAGCTCGTCTGGATGACACCGATGTCCGACAAGTTGAATCCGAGTCCAAGCACATCACATTCATGATCTGTTCATTGTTCCTCCGCACCTCTGATACGCATCAATCAATGTCCCTGTCACATGTACGCACGCACGCCCGCCGAATTTAGGGTTGTCATCAGTGAGAGAATCCATGTTTTATATTGACATACACAATTCACTCCTGGCAGCGCCACACCGGGTAATGTTCTGTAACGTCTGGGTCCCCAGTTTCAAGTGCGTGCATGTCTATTTTGTACTTCCTTTATCCTAAATACATATCTAGCGTCGCAAGGCAAATGGATCTGAGTTGTTCAAATAGTGTGTCCACCTCGCCTGTATGCCCACTCTCTGCCTCCGGCTCGGATTCATTTGCAGGCTCTACAAACGCTTACTAAGTGTTAAACCGAGCTGAGCTCGCCGCTCTACCTCGGTCATACAGGGTTGTCCTCGATGAGACAATTCACGTTTTATTTTGACCTACTAAGTTCACGATCCATGCAATGGCGAGTCAGCGCCAGGCCGAGTAATGTCCTGCAACGCATGGGTTCCCAGTTTTGAGTGCATGCATACCTATCGTATACTTCCTTCATCCAATCCCAAATGCGACTCCGAGTCACTGGTGTTTCTCCTGCAAGGTCTTACTCATAGGTTTTAGATGGTTTCGAGCCTAATAATCTTAAATCCGCTGGCAATATGGGAGGCAGAAAGCTCCTGCCATATAAGGTAGGAGGAAAGCAATCTGTTGGCCTTATCTGTGGCGTGGGGGAAGAGCTCCAGCTTGAAGCAAAGCATTCTCTTCCCTTATATGGCAGGCAAAAGCTCTGAAAGCTCCACTGAAAGCACCCTTAAAGTGCCATGAAAGCTCCAGAAAGCACTCTTAAAGCGCCATGAAGCATCATAAAAGTACCCTCAATCACCACTGCAGTGGTCCAAAAGTACCCTATATATTTATGGTCATTTCAGAAATAATTTCAAACTTGTGAAAATAATTCTTTTTGTGGGCTGGTACATATCTTAGAGGGTACTTATATGGTCATTTCAGAAATAGATTTCAAAACTTGTGAAAATAATTCTTTTGTGGGCTGGTACATATCTTAGAGGGTACTTCAGGAATGATATGAGCCAAGAATTACAGAAAACGGCGGTTGGGATGTGGAGATATGGTCAAAATACTGACTTTTTGGCCCACCCAATAGTCACCAGTAATGATCTCCAGATACTTATATGGTCATTTCGAAATAGGTTTCAAACTTGTGAAAAAATTTCTTTTCATGGGCTGGTACATATCATGGAGGGTACTTCTAGGAATGATATGAGCCAACAATTAAAGAAATCGGCGGTTGGGTTGTGGAGATATGGCCAAAATACTGACTTTTTGGCCCCACCACCATATGTCACCAATATTGATCTCCAGGTGGTCCAGGATCATCACCAATCGATTCCTACACCTAAAAAACCCTAGGACAGGCCTTTACAGTATCGGTCTTAAGTTAAATTCAAGCACAGCAAAATATAGGAGGTAGGAGGGGGGAGGAGGACCTTGTATATCTCAAGAACGCGATTTTTTCTGGGAAATCTGGCTCGACCATCGTGTTCAGGTGGATCAAGAACCCCCAGGAAAAATGCTTTTGTAGCACTGGCAAGTCATGGGAAGTCTGTAAAAATCGATCTTTGTGGGGGGTATGAGGCAAACTGACATATTTCAATTCAAACAGGCTAGAAATAATCTGGGACCATCTCCAATCGATTCCTGTGATCATAAAACACTAGGAACATCCTTTGATATATCAGTATTCACATAATATGAAGATATATGAGATAGGAGGGGGAGGGGGACCTTGCATATCTCAAGAACATGATTTTTTCTGGCAAATCTGGCTTGACCATCATGTTCAGAGGGTTCAATAACCCCCAGGAAGGATGCTCCTGAAGGACTGACAAGTCATGGGAAGCCTAGAAAAATCGATCTTTGTGGGGGGGGCATCAGGCAAACTGACACATCACAATTCACATGGGCCCGGATGACTCTGAGACCATCTCCAATCACTTAATATGATACAAAAACACTAGGAACATCCTTTTATACATCAGTATCGACATGGAATCCTGCCTCTGGGCACAGTAGGTAGTAGGTAGGGGGAGGGGGTAGCATCACTCTGAAATATGATTTTTTCGGACCAAACCAGTGTTCCCATCAGATTCAGACGGCCAAATAACCCCAGAAACAAGTTCTATTTGAAGCCAAGCAAGTCATATGAAAGCTCAAAAAATCAATCATTGGGTGAGGCAGCATAACAGGGGTGACATTGCTTACATAAGCAAAGCGGTCAACTTGACCATAGGTGGGCAACTTTGCAACAACATGACTTTGCCATATCAAATTGTTGCTCCTACTGGTCTATGGCTTCAGAAATAAGCCTGAGATCAAGCTATGCAAGTCATGCAAAGGCTGACAAAATTGACTTTGGGTGAGGGCCTCAGCACAACAGGACTTGATAACTCATGACTTTGGAACATGATTTTTTCGCACCAAACAAATGCTGCTATCAGATTCAGGAGGCTCAATAACTTCTAGAACAAGTCCTATCTTGAGCCAGGCAAGTCATGTGAAGGCTGAAAAAATCGATCTTAGAGGGTAAGGCAGCATGACAGGGGTGTTCAAATTTGAAACATGATTTTTACACATGAAATGGGCATGCCCACTCGATTTAGATGGTTCAATAACCTCAGGAACAAGTTCAAGATACAGTCATACATGTCATATGATGGCTGGAAAATCAATCTTAGAGAGGGAGGCAGCATATCAATGTTGGTTATTTGCTTCTAATAAGCCAACTTGCAAAATTTCAACAAGCATCTTCCAATTACAATATATAGCTTTCGTTTGATTGACGCTGATCATATGCACAAAAATGTGCTGTTTCATCGAATATTTCTTATGATAAGATGTGGCTTTATTATTGTGGCCTGATGTGACAATGATTATATAAGCAAAAATGCGGTCAACTTGAACCAAAAAATTCTCTTTCTTGCTTCTCCCTCCCTCACTCATGTATTTAATTGCTGTCCCTTTGTAAACTGTACATATTTTGTCTTTGTAGTTCTGGGGCCTTTTGTGGTTGGTGTTACCCTTTGTGAGGGTCAAACCATTGTTGATGGCACCACCTTTTTTCGCTTCTGGGGGCTTTTATGGCTGGTGCAACCCTTTGTGAGGGTCGAGTCATTGTTTATGACACCAACTGTTTTGATTCTATGGTTGGTGCAA